TACCTTCTATGTATGTCTATAAGCAGACATTTGAATGACGATACATAGACACACGCGCGCACATATATCTATACATACATATATATATATGTATACATGTATATTCATTTATGTTTACACACATATATATATATATGCATGTCTATCTACGTGTATAGGTATGTGTGTATACATATGTGCGCTGCTCTAGAGCACGGCGGCCGAGCGCTCGGAACTTCTCGAGCTCCCCCTCCGCCAGCCCAAACGCCCGAGACACCTCAGCCCACGCTCGCACATCGGCCTTGCCCCAGCTGCTGCCTGCCTGTTGCACGTTGGCGGCCGGAGGTGGTGGCTCTGGGGCTGGACGGGACGCCGCTTTCTCCTCGAGAGCAGCGTGCGTCCTCCCACTTCCTCCACGGAGCACCGGTGCTCAGTGGTGGCATGCAGTAGGCCGAGGGCGTGCAAGGAGGACAATCTAGACAGCCAATGGGGCTAAAATCAAGTCGGACTTTTTCACGGAAGCTGCACAATGTCAACATGTCCACAGAGGCGCTGGCAGTTCGAATCGCGTCAGCCAGATTCAAATCGTCTGGCCATCCTCCATATTGCAACCTCTCTTCCTAACCCTCCTCAGCTCCCACCCTGTGGAGCTGGGCACTCCTGTTCAGGCAGGTTTAGACCGAACCATTAACGATACTAGAAGCACGCACGCGCTTCGCGCGCCTAGGTTGCAGCAAGCACACACCCTCGACAACGGCACAACTCTACATGCGCACGAAGTTGTGCAAATATTGCACATCATACGTTGTGACGACGGACGCCTGAGAAACAGTGGGTTACTGAGGGGGCAATGTTTGGCAAAGCTGCTCGCCCCGTAAGCCTAGGGACCGGGTCGCTGAGTATGTGTGTATTGATTTGCGGCATGGACATATATGTATATAGATACCTATACGACCACCCTTCGGGTAATAAGGAGGTTCGGGGGGGGGAGGAACCGACGTCTCACTCGATCGGTCTCACTATCGATCTCACTATCGATCTCACTATCGGTCTCGCTCGATCACACTCAATCGATCTCACAGTCAATCTCACTCGATCTATTTCATTCGATCGATCTCACAATCGATCTGACTATCGATCTCACTATCGATCTCATTATCGATCTCACAATCGATCTCACATTCGGTCTCACTATCGATCTCACTATCGATATCACAATCGGTCTCACAATCCACGTCATCAACATCATCAATATCGACATCATCGTCATCAACGTCATCAACATGATCATCATCATCGGGGCACCATCATCGTCACCATCATCATCAACACCATCAACACCATCATCATCATCATCATCATCATCATCATCATCGTCACAATCATCATCATCGGGACACCATCATCGTCACCATCATCATCATCATCATCAACCTCATCACCATCGGGTCACCATCAACATCATAATCGGAACACCACTATCATCATCGCATCATCATCATGAACAACATCATCAACATCAGCATGATCATCATCGGGGCACGATCATCATCAACAGCATCACCATCATCAACACCATCATCCTAATCGGGGCATCATCATCATCGTCACCACCACCACCATCATCATCATCATCATCATCATCATCATCATCCTTATCATCATCATCATCATCATCGGGACACCATCATCAACATCAGCATCAACATCAGCATCATCATCATCACCATCATCGTGCCACCATTACCAAAATCATAATCGCCACCTCATCATCATCCTCATCATCATCGGGGCATCATCATCGTCATCACCATCATCAACATCAGCATGATCATCATCGGGGCACCATGCTCATCATCACCATCATCATCATCAGCATCATCATCAACCTCATCATCATCATCATCATCATCATCATCATCGGGGAACCATCACCATCATCTTTATATGTTTCATTATCATCTCATCATCATGCCATTATCATCAACAACATCAGGATCATCAACAACATCATCATCATCATCATCATCATCATCATCGGGACACCACCATCATCATCATCAGCAACATCATCATCAACATCATCATCGGGACACCATCATCATAACCACCATGACCATGACCATGACCATGACCATCATCATCATCATCATCATCATCATCATCATCATCATCATCATCGGGACACCATCATCATCACCACCATCACCATCATCATCATCATCATCGACATCATCATCATCACCATCATCATCATCATCATCATCATCATCATCATCATCATCATCATCATCATCATCATCATCATCATCATCATCGGGACACCGACGGGACACTGGCGGGACACCGCGCGCCACGGGCCCCCGGTCAGGAAACATTTGGTCTGGCCGCGCCTCTTCTGGAGGCGGAACACCGGCGGGACACCGCGCGCCACCGGCCCCCGGTCAGAAAACATTCGGTCTGGCCGCGCCGCAGCCGGAGGAGACTTTTCCCGCCCGCCCACGCAGCTTCGCCTCGCCCGCACGCACGGCACACACGAAAACGAAACCGAAACCGATTTCCCTGTAGGGGGGCTCTCAGTTCCACTTCGATCTCACCCCCTCACCTCCGATAAATGTATGTGTGGGTAAATAGATACATAAACAGGTACGTCCGTACAGCCGCCGACCCGTCGGCGTGAGTGAGACGCAGTCGTCGTCTTCGTCGTCGTCGTCGTCGTCGCCAGTCGCAAGTCCCAAGATCATGGAGGAACGAGCAGAGACAAGAGACGTCGTAATCAAGTCGATCCCCTTCCCTTTTTCCCTTCCCCGACGCGGGGGGGGGGTATTTGAGCAGGGACCGACCGTCCCGGCATTCCTATAGTCCTGCCACGAACAGTTCTAGAACCCATAAATGTTCTAAGCGCAAACACAGTGTCCTTAGAACATAAACCCGATGTGCTAAAACAAGACAAACTCCGCCAGAACTGTTCTAAGAGCATTCCGCGGGAACCACAAAAGGTCCTTAGAACATTGTTTGGTAGGGCCATAGGCGAGCCAGGACGCTTCGCCACCGCTTGAGGTATAGGGGTAGTACGGCAGGTTCGTGTCGTGGCGACCCAGGCGTTGGTTTCCGACACCGCGTCGATCGTCCAACCTTGAACGATCGGCGGCTTCCCGATCGCCCGATCGTTCCATGTAGGCCGATTCTGGGCCACTGGCGGCGTTCCACCTTGAACGCCCGCGGCGGGGTCGCCGCTGGTCGACACGACGCGAACCTACCGCACGGGGGGAGGGCCGGGCGGGGGCCCCCGGGTCCGCCTGCCGCCCCCCGTGGGCCCCCGCGGGCTCTATAGCCGTGGCCCCGGCCCTGCCCGTGGCCCGGCAGTGGCCCCGTGGCCCCGGGGAGGGGGCCCGGGGAAGGCGACCACGGCACCGGCCGCACGGCCTTCCCAAAGAGAGCTCGACTTTGTTTTTGCTCCTCCATCTCGGCTGCTGGACCTCGAAGGCTCAACGCGAAACGTGCGCAAGGGGCGTTTTCGAGATTGACAGGTAACGGCTCGTCTGACGAGTCCGGCAAGCTGCAAAAATGCGTCTGGACTTCACTGACTGGTCCACTGGTTCGCTTCACTGGTTTCGCCAGCGTCGTCACATGTTTTGATTCGCGGGTCGAGAGCGCACCTCTGACGGTCGAAGCTCAGCGGGCCGCGCGCAGCTTGAGTTCACAAAGAGGGGGGAGGAGGGGGGGGGGGGAGAGTGCAGCCTCAGGGCGAGGCCGGGCCAGCGCCGTCACACATAGATAAAGAAAAGGAACCGTGCACATACACCGATTCTGGCCCAATCCATCCTGAGCCCAGGATCGGTGCGCACGCCCTCCTGCCTTGGCCAGGAAGGCACATGCACCGATCCTGGGTCAAGGATGGGCGTTGTCAGGATCGGTGCATGTGCATGGCTCTCTTCCCCCGAAATACAACGGCACCGGCCGCACGGCCTTCACAAAGAGCGGCCATCGTCGTCACACATGGTCACCCCAGGCTTGCGACGCTGCCTCAGGCGGCACGAGAATCAGGCAGGGAGCCCCCTCCAGGAGGAGGAAGGCGGACGGGAGAGCGGGGATAGGAGGGAAAATGTGGGAAGGGTTCGAGGCGCTGCGCGCGCAGTCGAAGGAGAATTGGCAGCGGGACAGCCGCATGATGGCAACAAAAGAACGGCCAACTCGTGGCCGTGGCAGTTGGGAGGAGAACGGGCAAGATCAACCCTGGAGAATGCCAGAATAAAAAGCACCAGTGACAATATGCGTTGTGCTCTTCCTGTGAGCGGATCGCGCAGGCTGCGAGGGGACTTAACCCGCTGAGCAAGCGACTGAGGACCGACTCCAAAGCACGAGGAATAATAAGATAAGAAAGACAGACCATAACAGTGAAACGAGAAATGAAACATTAAGATATGACAAGACATCAAAACTCGGCCCCGCGAACTAGCTGCAACAATGCCGTCATGCCAGACATCATCGAACACCCTGGTGCGTCTTACCTGGAGCGCTCGTAGGCCATCGCGCCGTTGACTTCATGCTACGCTTGAGTCTTACACGCGGCCTCTGGAAGCTTTCTCTGGTGGCTTGTCAATTCCATGTCGAGCTTGTTTACCAAACACTTCAAGCCAACGTCTTTGCACGCACGGCTCAGGATGAGGTACGTGCTCCTGCACAAGAACACCTTTTAGGAGGAAAAAAACACAGACACAATGAATCGTCGACTCCCAAGAAAATTTCCGAAAATACCGGAAGTGTGGGGGAAGACGAAAATCCAGAACATAAGACAAAATCTGGGGAATCCTGGGATTTGTGTGTATTTATGTATGTGTCCTTGGGCCCCTTGAGCCTTGTACAAGTCCACGGCATGTTGAACCCACTGGAGCACGACGGAAGAACATAGAACAGGACAGGACGGTAGGCGAACTGGCCGGATTCGAAGAACTGCTCCCGCAACGCGTCGAAGATAGCAATGGCTTTCACGACTTGGTCACTGAACGAATAAGCTCTGATCATGATGCCATAATGTTCATGAGCAAGTCGTGGCCCTCGTTGTGCATACCAACCTTACAATGAATACCCAACCCTGCATTCTGCGCGGTCCGTTTGAAATGAATGCCTGGTCGCTTCATCTCCTTGTCAATCTTCAGAACGAATGTTGGATCGGAACGCTCATAGGCCACCACGATGGAACGATATGCCCGCTTGCTGAGGGGGGTACCTGTGCTCCTCACCTTCACGAAATATTCTGCAACTCTCTCTGGTGGCCGTTCCTCCCACGCAGCCAGCACACGGTTCTGGGTATCGGGTGGCGGGTCGTCCATGAGCCCGAAGTAAATCGAGAAGCCGCAATCCCGCTGCTCGAATGCGCTTGTCAGAAAGAGGTTCACAGACGAGCTGGAAGAAACTGTTTGACACGGCCTTGTGAATGAGGTGTGCGCAATGAACGGCCCCGCTCTCCAACATATGATCGAACACCTTCGCAGCTGTCTCCGTGTCGAATTTTGAATGAAAAACGACCCTAGCCTGGGTTACAAGTGCGTGGTCCGAAAACCTCCTGGGAACCCCCGTTTTTGACTATTTTTGACTATTTGGGAGTATGTGGGGTGTATTGTTTTGTAGTTGTCCTCCAAAATCCGCCTGTATGGCCACATGCCCGAGGTAAGACTTCGGCTGTTTCGTTTATTCCTGAGCTGCCATACATGAGACCTGGACGGAGACTGCGCGCCAGGCTCCACGCGTTGCGTCGAAAGCAACATTGCCGATCAACGATGTTGTACTGGTCTGCTTATGCGCCGTGTTCTGTTGTGGGGACTTTGTGTTGCCAGCATCGAGGAAACAACCGAGAACGCCCAGCGAGAACACGAAAACGTCGATAACGATATGAAAGCTTTTGCCACCAAGAGTGATGGATGTACCAAAGAAGACGTGGCAGAACGCGGAGAACGCAGCACAGATATCACTGCGACACTCATTGGCAAGTCCGTGTGCGGCACGCCCCTTTGAACATGTTCGAAAGGTCTGCTGCACCTGCGCAAATGAAACTGATATCTGGTTCGCTGAACAGAGCGAGATGTGGGAAGACAATCGGATGTGTGCGCAACCAGAATATAGCAAACGCTCGCTGAATAGAGCGAGATGTAGGGAAGACAATCGGCTGTGTGCGTAACCAAAATATTGCACACGCTCTGGCAGAACCGGGCGTGAGTTACCAGCCTGGAACATATCCCTATCCCTATGCTGGGCACATCCTCATCACGATGCCAATCTTATGGATTCCCTCATTTTTCGAGGGCGGATCCCTAAGATTGTCGTCGCCTTCTGGCGTGTCAATCTTAGCGATAGGGATACGTTCGAGGCTGGTAAATCTGGCTCGCTGAAGAGAGCGAGATGTAGGAAGCCAATCGGCTGTGTGCGTAACCAAAGTATTGCACACCCTCTGGCAGAACCAGGCGCCAGCTGCAATGTTTTGAGCCGACGTGGGCTGGGCCGTCATAGATGGGCAATCGTAAATGAAACTGGTAAATCTGGCTCGCTGAATAGAGCGAGATGTAGGAAGCCAATCGGCTGTGTGCGTAGCCAAAGTATTGCACACCCTCCGGCAGAACCAGGCGTGACCTGCGCCTACGCAAATGACAATGAGACCTGGCTCGCTGAATAGAGCGAGCTGTAGGAAACCAATCGGCTGTGTGCGCAGCCAAAATATATTGCACACCCTCTGGCAGAACCGGGCGCGAGCCGCCATGTTTTGAGCCGGCGCTTGGGCCATCATGGATGGACCTCGAGAGCTTGGTCGAAATCTCGGTGCACACCCCCGCGGCTCGATCTGAACAGCACGTGAGCCACAACATTAAAACTGAAGAGGCCCCAGGACACGCAAAAAAATGCACACAGATAAAAAGATTCCCCATAGTTTCCCATATTTTCTGGGTTTCTGTCTTCCCCCCCCCCCACTTCCCATATTTTCTTATACTTTCTGGGGAATCGACGACTAATTGTGTCTGTGTGCTTTTTCCCATCCTGAACAATATCAAAACCCGCGATGCGGCTCCTCGCAACTCTGCCTGTCGCGCAGCCGGCACGCGAGAGGCACCCCAGTGCCCGCGCCCACATTTTTTAGCTGGACTGGGCGCCGAGCCGCCGCCTCCTCCCCATCCCCTCCCTCGCCATCGCTCGGACCATTCCCTGTGTTTTTTTCGGTTTCGTGCATGGGTTTTTCGCCAAATGATCAAGGATGCTCCTCGATGGTCCTCGCCGAAAGAGAAATGCACACGTCCAAGCGATGCCCAGCTCCCCGCCGCCGCTGCCTCCGCTCGCCTCTCCCCTCCCGAACCGCCGTGCTCCATTTAAAATTAGCGCCTCGTGGGTGTTCGCTTGCGGTTTCACCATGCCAGAGTCTCACACGGCAGCCGATCCACGTAGGACACCTGTGCGTGGCCAATGCGCCGCCTGGCGCACGGTTGATCTGTTTTCTGTTCTTGGACGCCAAGCCATAACGCGAAGGAGGGATCGTGCCAGGAGAATCCATGCCCGTCGGTCTACAGAAGCGGGTGGAAGCATGGAGCAGGGAAGGCGTTGGAGGTAGACTCGGAGCTCCCATCCAACCTTCAAGTGCGAAGGCACCTAAAAGAGACTTTCCCCAAGCAGTGCTTGCACTGAAGGGGTCTCAGCGGAGCTTGAAAGCTTTGGTGAAAATTTCCCGTCAATTTTGGTGGCAAGCTGGGTTCCGTGGTTCCCGGTTCCGGGTTCCCGGTTATTGGTTCCGGGCCGATTTCGGTGGGTTCTGGGTGCCCGGGCTCTCGGGTTCCAGGTCGATCTCCTCAGCGAAAACCATCCACTGATTGGGTTTTTCTCTGGTGTAGTATGAATAAGAAGACAATGAAACCCTATTTTCAGTACCCTATGAGTAATCGCATGGCGTCGGTGACTTCGATGGCCTCCCCCCGGCGACGCTTTGGACATACTCCAGTCGACAACTTCGAGAAGACGAAGATGGAGGAGGAAGAGGGAATTGGATGAGGAGGGATGCGTAAGAAGATGAACGATGATAACTTGGAAAGAGGATCTGGACGGGTGAAGAAGGAAGGATGCGGATGAGAAAGGTAATGAGGATCGGGAGAACATTCGCCGCAGACGCCTGCGGCGGGTCACCATCGACCCCTTCTATGGAGCAGGGCCTCTCTGGCCGGCTGGTGTGGGAACGCATCGCACTTGTGGCAAATCGTCGATTTAAGACTGCCTGCCTCGACTGCGATTGCTGCCGAAGGACCCAGTTGGACCGTGTCGGGGCTGCCTTGGAGCTCTTCCGGGGGGGGGGGCCCTGTAGAAGGCACCCTGGGCCGTCTCAGGGCCAACTTGGGCACTTCTGCTGGCCCTGCCGGACTGCCTGGGGCCCTTCGAGGCTGCCTGAGAGCTTGGGCAGGGCTGTGTCAGCGCCCTGCTCCTCCTCCTCTTCCTCCTCCTCATCCTCCTCCTCCTCCTCCTCCCTTGCCTCCTCCTCCTCCCCTCCCTCTCTTCCTCCTCCTCCTCCTCCTCCTCCTCCTCTCCTCCTCCTCCACCTCCTCCTCCTCCTCCTCCCTCCTCCCCTCCTCCTCCTCCTCCTCCTCCTCCTCCTCCTCCTCCTCCTCCTCCTCCTCCTTCCCTCCCTCCCCCCACTCCCTCCTCCGTCCTCAAGGATGGACGACAGGGGGAGGAGGGAGGGTCTCGAGCATGGCGGCGACAGACGGCGGCGGCAACATCCCCCATTGGGCCCTGCTGGGCCGTCGCCCCCCCCCCCACCCCACCCCACCCCACCCCAACAAGCCAACAAGTAGTGCCTGGACGTGTTCTTCCGTGGCGTCGCCCCATCGTAACCCCGTCGGCCCCTCAGCCCGGAGGAGCTGAGACTAGTGTGGCTCGTCACTCTGCCAAGAATGGCATTCTCCAGGCATCAAGGCCGGCAAGACTTCGCTTTATCGGATGCTCGTTCACTGCCACAGGCTTACCACTGCGTTACATGCCTTACTGTAACCTGCCTACCCTAATGTGACTGGCGCTCCTTTCGTCGTCCATTCGATTACAAGTTATCTATTTGGCGTCCTTACGTATCCCTTATTCTCCAAATCGGCTAGCCTAAGGGGTTCTTTCTTGGTTGAAAAATTGTGTCTTGGGGGCTACTTTGCCCGTTCCTCGGAGGCTCCCCGGGCTCCTCGGGTTCCCCGCCCCCAGTGCCTCCTATTCTTACGTTGCCAGTTCTCGGGGGCGGCCAAGAGGGAGGCGTCCAAGAGGGGGGGCGCAAATCATGACCGGCGGCATGTGCGCGGCCCACGGGGGGGGACCGAGGACGTAATAAAATAAGAAGAGGCGCCATGAAATCTGGGGAAACATCATGGCCCACGCCATGGTATCCCCCCCCCCTAGTCATCACACCCCTCTTCGCCGCCCCCGACGTTCCACGGATGTTCCTCGGGTTCCCCGGGTTCCTCGGGTTCCACTGGCTCCTCGGGTCCACTCCTCAATTAGGGTTGCCTGAGGCAATGCCAAGCAATGTCAAGCAATGCCCTTCCACGCAAAGCAATGTCAAGCAATGCCAAGCAATGGCAAGCAATCCCAAGCAGTGCCAAGCAATGCCAACCAAGTGTCAAGCAAGGCTGAGCAATGCCAAGCAATACCAGGCAACGCCAAGCAATGACAAGCAACGCCCAGCGATGCACGCAGCGATGCTCACATGCAGTAGGCTTTCCCCTCATTGGGGTCGGGCCACCTTCTTTTGTTTCCCCGCAAGATGACACAAGATGATCCTCCTGGATGGTCCTGCCCGAAGAAACCCTGCACATGCTCGAGCGATGCCAAGTTCTTCCCAATTGCCACCCGCCCGAAGGTTCAGAGGCGGCGCGGGGAGACTGGGCTCCTGTGCTCATCGGGGATCTTCTGACCCGGGACGATCCAGACCCGGGTCAGCAAGAAACCAACAACTGCAATGCAGGAGGAAAAAACTGCAACGCAGGTCTTCGCAAACCCGGGTCAGCCAATAGGCGCGGCCGCCCCGCGGCCACGAGCGGCTCGCTAACCCGGGTCAGCCAGATTCGCAGGATCCTGCAGGACCTGGCGCTCTGGCTGACCCCCGTCTGCACTGACCCCGTCTCGAAGCTCCCGAGCTCAGCCAACTCCTGCACATCCGGCCTCAGGGCACGCTTGCCGAGTGCTTTCTTGGACCTGCAGCCACGGCTGGCCACAAAAATCGGCGTCGAGCGCGGGGGAAGTGAGCAGGGGAAGGCCTCCTCAGAAGGGGACCATGCTTCTCAGAATAGGGGGCCACATGCGAACCCTACCCCCACCCTCCCCC